CTAACAGTAGCACAGCGGAAAGAATAACTGATTGAACAGAAGCGTTGCATTGTGTGTTTGCGCACAGGACACCGGTCAACTCAGTGCAAGGACACCCGCAAGTGTAATGTGTGTTCTCGCATGGGTCACCAATCAGAGTCACCATCATGTCACGATCTGCCCTGAATCTCAACAGAAATCTGACAGCAGTACCAACATGGTATCTGATCAGCCTGTGTTTGACGAGGTACCAGCATCTAGCACAACAGCAGCTAGTGCAGCATCAACCAGTATCGCCATCGACCGAAAGATAGTCAGTCGTCTTGATCGGTGCAGATTTCCTCTGGGAGTTTATGACGGGGAGCACCAGAGGACTTCCGTCAGGACTACAGGCTCTGCCTACCACAGTCGGTTTTGTGGTGACTGGCCGAACACGTCACTCCAAGTACTCAGCTACGCCGATGAGCAGCCATGCCAGCTATCGTTTCTCTAACTGATTCGATTTCCGACTCCTGCACCATCCCAGATCTGTGGGACTTAGACTGCGTTGGCATCCAGGATTCAGCCAATTTTCTAACAACGACCTAGCAATTAGGCAATTCATCTCAACTGTCATTCAACTCGATCGTTTCCGGTCTCTATCCAAGCGCCTAGAAGTCGAGTCGGAACTCAAGGTCAAATGCGACGACGTGATCCAGCAGCAGCTACGACAAGGCATCATTGAACAAGTGAGTCCTTCTACACCTGTGGGTGCCAGAGTGCCCTATCCGCCTCATCAACCAGTCGTGATACCACAGAAGACGATCACAAAAGTCAGAATTGTCTATGACGCCTCAGCCAAAGCCAGACGCACTAATGTGTCCCTGAACAACTGTTTGCAACATGGCCCAGCTTTGCTGCCAGATCTGTTTGGCATTGTTCTACGATTTTGCCTGCCACCAATCGTCATGACCTGCGATACTGAGAAGGCCATTCTACAAATCAGTGTCAACCCAGCATACAGAGATGCGACACGATTTCTGTGGTTCGCCAACTCCGACAGTACATCAGCCTGGCAACGTATCGCTTCTGCCGGGTACCGTTCATGCTCATAAGCAGTCCATTTCTGCTTGGCACGTCTATACAGCAGCATAATTTGGCACAGCAAGATGACAAACAGCTAGCAGTGGCTATTGGTGAGAACATTTTTTGCTGTGCCATTGGAGTGTGCACTATACACGTACCCTGCTCTTTTGTTGGCACCGCCTGTGTAACTTACTGCATAGGGTGCAAGGTGACCGTTGTCGGTTTACATGTACTCCAGTTATTACACCGTGCATGCACTGAGTCTGTGCTGTACTGTGCCGCATCCATAGGTGTTCGTTTGCGGTAGCGCAAGGTGACACACAAGGTTGATGTATTGTGTTGTGCGCTGCTATTTGAAGCTCTCGGAGTCGGAAGCATTGCCTCTGTTTCCCCTGTTCCTGCCTGCGCGGAGTCTGTAGTTCTGGCTTTCAGTCGCTGTTACATGCATGTTGGCAGTTGCATGTGTTTTGGTTATCAGTTGTCTTTTTTGTTTTGTGTGGACGACGCCAGTTCAATATTCTAGCAGTTGTTACGCTGCCCATGTTCCGTAGTTATCTGCTGTTGGTGTTTGAGAGAGCAAACTGTGTTCTTCTCCAGAGTGGAGTAAACCATTCTCTTGTGTCTGAGGAAAACCCTGTGTGTTGACGAAGTGGGTTGACTTGGCTGTAGAGTGAAAGTACCACATGGTCACATGGTCCACAAAATCTTAGAACTAACTTAGGGTCTTCTGGCGTATGGTATATATGAGCAGCATGAGAGTGAAGTAAAAGACTATTAGCTCAAACATTCAGTCTTTCAAGAGTAGGTGTTTCATCACGGAATAGGTTCTGCAGTTCACTTACACACTGCAACAATGGACCAGCAGTGTCCAGCAATAGAGTTGGATATGTACCGTATGCATACTCACAGCTGCAACTGAGGCCAACGCCCCTTGGCTGCTTGACTTCTCACTCGATTTTAATATTCACAACAGTAAGACTCTGTTATCAATCAGGGCTCTGTGAGCAGTTATGCTTCCGTTGTAGTCACAGATGCCGCATGATCAGTCACAAAACTAAACTTGGCAACCCGCAGTCACAGCTTCCATGGTGCCCCAAGACCAGTCCGACCAGAGATGACTAAATCTGCAGGGAGTTTCATAATCTGTTCATTGCAGAGTCCACTATACTGTGATTCTAGAGGGTGGTAGCGTTCCTGCAGTTGCGGAAAACTCGGCTGGAAGTGTCACGTGAAACCTGATTTTTTAAGACTTTTATTATTAATTAATTTTGTTTACTATGAGCCTATTATACGCGATACAGGCTCAGAACACACTTTTCGTCTAGTTGGCATATCAGGGATATTGGGCGGAGCAGCTGGAGCAGCCCATATCCCCAATTATGACACGCGAGTAATAGTGAAATACGATTGGTGTATTGTGCTGGACTGACTGCGGTAATGTAAAGCTACAATCAAGTAGTCAGTTTCACTTTGCCCTTAGCATGGCCTTGTCATGAAGGTGCCGCATACGTGGAAAGGCAACATGCCGGCTAATCTCCCTGAGAAGTTGAGTGGTTATCAGCAGGCGATGACGCTGTGTCGATGATGACCTGCCGATGCCCGACAGGAGCCTTGCGAGGAGAGTCATTGGGCCCGACGGGTAGGTAAAGCCAACTTCCACATGAAGTTTGCGGATGGCCGACAAGTGTAGACATGGACAGATCAGGGCTGAAAAGTTCTGAACAACTCGGCAGCAAAATAACACAAAGTAAAAAGTCATCACCTGGCAATGGATTGCAGGCATGCACTTGACAAACTGGAAGCAACGGGTATCGGCGGAAAAATATTTCCGACTGGTGCCAGTGCTGGTAGCTGCAGCACGGAGTCCGTCAACTGAGAGTTGGCAAGACTGGCTGATCTGGCTCAGCTGCTGTTTCCGGAGCCCTTGATGTTTCAAACACAATCGCCGCAGGCCATGTTTTTCGGCACCGACGATTTTTTCGTCCACCATTTTTCTCACTGGACACTGCGTAGAGCTGCCGCTGTTGTGCCAAGGCCCATTGGCGCATGGTGTGTATACTCCAAATCTACATGTATGATGCTGGATCACTGCTGACGTTTGTGCTCTTGGACAGTGCAACGCCGCATGAAGATAAGTTGTGGCTCCACAATCGCTGAGAACGCTAGTGTGCGTCCATGGAATATTAAAACACAATAGGCGCGGCGCAGCTAACGCCCACTTGGATGAATCGGACGACAGTGGTGGCGAGTGCGTTCTCCTTCCTCGGTGAACACTGCTGGTCACCCTGTTTGATGATCCACCAAACACCATCGGTGCAGGCCGCGTTTTTCGGAACCAGGGATTTGTTCGTCCACCAACAATTGAAATTAATGTTTCTCACTTGAACACTCTGTAGAGCTGTCGCTGTCTTGACAAGGCCGTGTATAGTCCAAGGCTACATGTAGGATGAAGAGTAACAGTTACTGCTGATAATGAAGTTTGCGCTCGTGGACAATACAACGCTGTGTGAAGTAAATTGTGGCTCCACAATCGCTCAGAATGCTAATGTGTGTCCATGGAATACTAAAACACAATAGGCGCGGTGCACCTAACGCACAACGTGGATGAAAGGGACAACAGCAGCGGCTAGAGCATTCTCCTTTCTCGGTGAACACTGCTACAAGACATTATGCTTGATGATTCACCAAACACCATCGTTGGGGGCCAAGTTTTCCGGCACCAGCAAGTTGTTCGTCCAGCAACTAACTTTGAGTCTTTCTTCAACACTCCGTAGAGCAGCCGCGCAAGACCTAGCCTTTGCGTTAGGGTAGCGATCCTTCCTACATGCTATCGCCTTTCATTGTTACTTTTTACTACAATGACACTCCAGTAGTGTTTCTCCGAAAATAAAGTCAGCTGCCATTAATGATTTAGGCATTACCATGATTACTGAGTACAGAGTCACTCTCACAACACTCAACAGTCAGTACTCAGTGGCACAGACGTAGACTACATCATTACATGCATGCCATGCGATCCTAGATCCTGCGATCGTCGACGGGCTTGGCCGTGCATGCAGCATGTGCCGCTAGCGCTGTGACGGCCCGGACAGTAGAGGAGACGGCTCGATACTGGGACGCTTTGACAGCCAAATTTGTATAGACCCAAACCGATCATCAGCGTTGATTTTTCACTCGAAATATGTTTGTGGAAGGAAACTGGCATGTTGAAGTTTGCTCTGGGGCCAGAGTCAATCGAACTGAGCCACTCCTTTGTGTTGACCCATTGCCTCCAAGTTGCCCAATTTTTCGCTTCAAAAAAGTTCAAATCAGAGGTGGCTCCAAACCGGACACGTTTTAGAGTGCACGTCAAATTCACTCTGGGTCTGAAATTAGGTAATTGCTATCGCTCCACGACGGCCAGTACAGAGTAACAATAAGCCTTGTGTGTGCTTCCATTAGTTTTGATTGGTATGCGGTGCTTTATTGGCGAGAGGCGAGCTGCTGTTTACCTGCGACAAGAAGTTGATTTTTCGAAAGTCGTAAAACTCAAGTCGCAGTGCGAAGCAACACGTCAAAAACTCACCTGCTTGATATGGTGCTTCTGGTCATCGCAGAGCCATGACATTTTGGCTCGGAGTACATGTATAACACATCGTAGTCTCACTGTGACATAAGTCTTCTAATCAAAATACCAAGAGAGAAAGTGAATATTGAGTCCGTTCCGGTTTGCAACCTGTGTCCTATTTGAAACCGTCCCCTCTACAGTCAGTCGGTAGATCATCTAATGAATACTAATGATCTACGCGGCTAGGCTGTGGCCAGTGTGGGATTACTCGTTGAGATCGGGAGTCATAATTAGTACTAGTACTACGTGAAGGGTTGGCTTTGCCCATGCCATGGTCCCTGCATGGCCTTGGCTTGGAGCTGTCAGCTGGTCCGAGATAGTTTTTTTTAGTTTTCTGTAGTACTAGTAGTAGTAGTAGTAGTACATGTAGTAGTACTAGTAGTAGTAGGGTGAGTTATTTGGGTTCCTGTTAGTCCGCTGTAGCTGCTGCAGTCAACCTCGGAGTTAGGAACTCGTTTCGTTGCACCCTATATCAGTATATGGCCTAGCTCAGTAACATCTAGAAACAGAAATAGTTGTACAGTATAGAAGCTCAGCGGCTGAGCCACTGTTTGAAAACGTTGAAGGCGTGCTCTGTAGCTAACGTTCCTTGCGCAGACACCATCGCTCACCAATATTTCATTCAGCAATTCGTCCCATGCCCACCGTCCGAGTCAGTTGGGTGGAAACTGTAGCTAGCGCACCCTTCACTTCAGCTGATCACCGCGCGCGGCTTAGCGAAAGCTGACTGATTTCGCCCCTCTGCCAGCCTCAGTAGCACGGTGAGTTTCAGAGATGCTTCGTGTCTCACTGCTAAAACATGCATGCTGGTTTACTCTAGGAGAGTGGACCGTATGCGTGTTAAAACAAAATGGCGTCACGATTTATTGAAAGTGGTATAGAGTAGTTGGTGGAACGAGTGTTCAAAACCATTTGAACTTCATACTGTTCGTCTTCTTTTTGACATGCTCTCTTTCCATCGTCCTTAGCTTTTGTTTGTTGTGAGCTGTTTTGGCTTTCTCCTATACCTCTGGGGGATGCCAAGTGATGGTTTTGATAGGCTGGTGATGGCTGTGAGCGAGAGTTTGCCGATCGGCATCGTCCTCGCTATAGCGATGAAAATACTAGTTACTGCGCACCTGGCAGATATCACAACACGTCTAAGCGTCCAGGAGCAAAGGAATCTTGGGTTTTCACTGGAATCTAGTTCCTCCAGCATCGTGTAGCCCACCGTCGGTGAATGGCAGTCCAGAAAGGTCGAACGTGGTCTTCTGCAGCATCTCGCAGTCCTGCGAGGCACACTGAATACGCCTGTCATGTATTCTACAAATAAAAATCACGAAGTAGTGGATTCTTTAGTGATGAGTCTATCCTGTACCCTGCAAAAGACACAGGAAATGTGACTGGTGTCTGTACACTGGACGCCAATATCCCATTCTTCTCCTGCAGGATCTGTTTGGCATTGACATACCGGTATGCAGTGGGTCGACATTGGCCTGGTTTGGCAGCTATCTGCCTGGGTGGATGTAGCAGGTTTGCATTGGCTCGTCGTCCAGTCCGACATTTTCTTGTAACTGTGGAGTACCGGTAGGGTTTGAGAGGTTGCTCATGCTGTGAACACATCTCTACTGCCTGTTTCGTCCTGGAAGTGCCGTCTCGCCGCTTCCTTGCTCTACAGTCGTGCTTATTTCGCTTTATTTCGTGGTGCAGCTCAAAACCTGCCCAAACAACTGTGAGCTCGCAACATGGTATGGACAAATTGCGCCACTCATGCTGGATGACTAAAACCAGGATAGTCCAGTAAGCGAGTTTACTCCCTGGGCCATGGCAAGATCTGTTCAGCGCGGGCTATTCCAACCTCCAAGTGCATAGTCACCGATCGATCCATGCGATGGTGGTTGACCTAGAAAGAGCCAGGGGCTATGAGTACTACTAGTGGATGCTGTCTACATGCAGTCAACAAAATCAAAGTACCTCAGTATGCCCCAGAACAGGGCATGTGCATCTATAGCATGACACAACAGGGGTTCTGGCGGCACATGTCAAACAAGCAGTAGCTACTAGTGCCAGCTACCTATTACTATAAGAGGCTAGCCGCTACAGTCTGTCACTGGAGATAATTATTGTGTTCATTGTTTGGACTGAGCACAATCAATGATGCCCAATCAATCTGCCCAATGTGTGTTCTGTTCCACTTAATTATAACGTCCCATCGCATCAACCCTACTACACGCACATGTCGTCACTCTAGCATGACTTGTGTTATTATTGTTTATTTTGATTTGCACGATAAATAGAGCAAAAAAACGTTAACTTGACCGAAGGATAAAGGCGACTGCAGATAGAGGAACACATCGAGGTACAGGTACCGGCATCAATACAGTATCAGAGAGAAACAAACAAAAATGAGAGGCACGCAGAAAAAACTCTCGTAAGCCCAAGTCTGAAAGGGGTAGTGGTTGATGAGGGATGAATGCACTGTCCACGTTCGTCTACACTGTTCGTGGAAATGCACACATACATACAATAATATACAACACAGCATGCACAGAACCGAACAATTTCATGTTCACACATGCAAGTACAGACTTGAACGTTAGTACCAAAAGCCGATACAGACAATATCCCCATACATACAGACACACACGCGCACACACACACACACACTACTACTACTACTACTATCAATCAGCTACCCCTTGGGGTCACGCCGCCCTCCACTCAGAGAACTGAGCGCAAGGTGAGAGGCAGTGGCGCAAACAAAACAGAAAGTACAGCAAAATGAATTGAAAAAAAGGAAATCAAAACAAGCTGCCATATTGATGGAAAGGGACTCACAAACAGAGGAAGGAAATATCACAAACCAGATGAACAGTCTGCTGTAGGTCCACTATAAGTATAACATGCAACGACTGAAAAAGGAACAAAATTAATGTGATCATGATGTTCTGTTCAACAATAACGTCTGTACGCGTACTGCTTCGGCCTTCATGCACCAGGAAAGCACGATCTTGAGCTGGAGGGTGGGCACCGAACGTCCCACAAGGGCTCCACAAGACGTACTTTCACGAAACGACGAGGAGTATGCGCAGCAAGCTTACATCACTACACCATCGCCGCACGACGACTGGCCACTCAGGTCCAAACAACACGACAAATTCACAATTCCAGCTATCACCGCGCAGGAATAAATTGTTGCGAGTGTGACCTGTATCCTTTATCATCTAGGAATCCACTTGTTTTTGCCGAACGCCACTGCATTGTTACAGGCTGGGGATTGATCCGAGGGCTCGCCACGCCACTGCGGAGGATGCGGAAAGGACGCAAGAAGACGGTGACGGCAACAAATAATTACCCGCCCTGGTCGTCAGCTCACTGAATGTCCTTCCGCGCGAGCGAAACCGGCTGCAAGGCATGAAAAGCCTACTGCCAGTCAATACCCAGGGACGACCCTGACCAGAAGGCCAAGGCCGCCCCGTGGAGGAGGCCAACAAAGAGAAAACCAGGAGCTACACACACACACACACACATACACACAATGTCCCATGTATGCGCCCGTGGCGAGAAAAGCACGCAAATCTACAAATGCCCTGGATGTGAACCCACATATTTTCTCTTATTGCAATGATAGCGGATCTGATTCTGAATGAAACACACACACACACACACACACACACACACACAATACAATAATGCCCATCCGCAGATGATGGCAGGTCCTGAAAGGACAGGCAGTGTTTCAGTTATGGGGAATAGAACTTCGAGTGGCGAGTGAAGTATACACACACAAACACATGTGCGCGCGCAGGCACACACTAAAGTATGCAGAAAGAGAATCGACATTGTAGTATTCATTGGTTAGGGAATGGAAAGGAAAATAAAACATTGCAGCAGGTTATTGTTGTATGGACACTATGAGCACAACAGAAAGGTAAGCAACTTGCTTTGAAGCAAAGAAAGTTATTATACCACGCATCTCAGAAGGAAAGAACGTTCCAGAATGCTGCACTGGCAACAGGCAGCCTACATGTGCGTGACCCCTGCAGTCGGTCCAGCTGCCGGCCTTGCAGTGCTGAAAAGAATGTGCAGTACAGCATGTCACGTCGTATCGCAGCCTGGACAAATAGGCGCTGGGAAGTCCTAGTTATGTGCTCACCTACACCACGATGCACCAATCTTCTGAGCTACTTTGGCAACAACTTTGTCCACTTGAGACTCCCATGGGCTGAGCCAGTTGTTCAGGGCTGCACCAAGGTGAACGGCAATGACCGCTGATGGCAATGCAATCCATGACACACAGTCACTAGGGCATCGTTAACATGGCGCTGAGGCTGGATCGATAAAATCTGCCTTTAGGCTGGGTTGACAACGTGGCCGCTGTCTTGCTAGTCAGTCAGCCTGGTCACCGCCATTGACGAACCAGTCGCCACCGTCAGCAGTGGTGGTAGGTTGTGACAAGTGTGGTGCAATATTCTGTCCCCGGGGAAAATTGCGATTCCGCGGCCGCGTTTTTTTCCGCGATTTTCCCCGCGTTTTTTGAACTTTTTTGTTGCACTACACGTACACACAGTGCACTGTTCGGTCAGCAACGTCTCATCGTGGCGGCTTTGTACTCAAATATGACGAGTGCTTACACCAGAGACTTGTAATTGATAGATTTCACTACATACTTACTGAAAATTGCCGCACATCAATATTATTCACCGCATATTTACCGCATATTTACCGCAAATTCACCGCAAATTATGCCATATTATGCCGCGTTTTTCCCCGCGTTTTTTTTGCGATTTTTTCCCGCAATTTTCCCCGGGGACAGAATATTGTCAGCAATTCAGTACTCGGGATAAGATGAGTGACAAAGGGAACGTTGTGTTTGTATAATATTGAAGTGAACAGGGATGATCACAAATCTTGCGCGTACTCCACCGTGAGTTACAAGAAAATTCCGGACTGGACGACGAGCAAACGCCAACCTGCTACATCCAACCAGGCAGATACTATTACGATAGCTGCCAAACCAGGTCAATGTCGACCCACTGCATAATGTCAATGTCAAACAAATCCTGTAGGAGAAGACTGGGGTGTTGGCGTCCAGTGTACAGACACCAGTAACATTTCCTGTGTCTTTTGCAGCATACAGGCTGAGACTCCTCACTGTAGAGTCCACTATTGCATGAGTTTTATTTGTACAATACATGGCAGGCGTACACGGTGTGCCTCGCAGGACTGCGAGATGCTGCAGAAGACCAGGTTCAACCTTTCTGGACTGCCATTCACCGACGGTGGGCTACACGATGCTGGAGGAACTAGGTTCCAGTGAAAACCCAAGATTCCTTTGCTCCTGGACGCTTAGACGTGTTGTGGTATCTGCCAGGTGCGCAGTAACTAGTATTTTCATCGCTATAGCGAGGACGACGCCGACCGACAAACTCTCGCTCACAGCCATCACCAGCCTATCAAAACCATCACTTGGCACTCCCCAGAGGTATAGGAGAAAGCCAAAACAGCTCACAACAAACAAAAGCTAAGGACGATGGAAAGAGAGCATGTCAAAAAGAAGACGAACAGTATGAAGTTCAAATGGTTTTGAACACTCGTTCCACCAACTATATCACTTTCAATAAATCGTGACACCATTTTGTTTTAACACGCATATCGCGGGTTTCTGGATTCATTCCAAACATATCCAGGGGCGTATTGTTGGGAGGGGGGGGGGGGTGAGGGGTGATTTGAGTGCCAAACACTCCAATTTCCGATCTTGGTTCGAGAGACACCATTGTAC